ACTAAAGAAAAAAGCGAGAGTAAGCTGAGCGGAGGATTGGTTTGATAATCACTTATTATGCTTAGCTTTTGGATTGATACAGATATACTATAGTTTTGCATTATAAAGTTTCACTTTTACATGTGTTGAGAAAGATGTTGTGGGTTGTACCATGATTTCTTCTTTGGTATTGAAGTTAATTCATGCAAGATTCGTAATCATTATTAGGGAAGACTTAGCTATAAACTTCTTCAAGCTTTTGGTTTTTTAAGTTTTGTTGTGCTCATTATTTTAATTGTTAGAAGTTGTTGGGGGAAGGTATTTTAGTTTATTAGCTTCAATGTTAAAGTTAGCTTTTGCATTTGGCAATCATAATGATGATTGACTATCATCTAGGATAGTTAATTATCTTTGTCAAAGGTTTTGCTTAATTATTGTTGATGTTGAATAATTGTCATTCTTTGGGATGGTGCTTTGTGGTTTGCTTTGGTTGGTCTCTTGGGGTTGAGATATTGATAAGATATTGTTGATGCTTGCTTAAGCAACTTGAGTTCTTTAGTATGGTTAACTAAGATTTATTTAAATTGGCTAGTACAATAGTTATCATGAACGAGTGTTTGTTTGCTCTAACTGCCTGTTTGCAATAGTCTATTTAAACCTTACTGACAGGTTTATTTTCTTTACTTAGGAGGGTTGGGACCTTTAGCTTCTCTCTCTATATCCTTGCAGATAGAGGCATATCACACTTTTGTAAGTTGGGTGACTCTTAGAGAAACAAGAGTGGCTAATTCCATTAATCATTTCCTTGTCAATGATGGTCAGAAGGTGTTTGAGTTGGTGCATTCGTGTTAGACAAAGAAGTTACCCTAACTCATTTAAGTTAGTGCATTTCTTACATAGTGTAAATATTGTGAACTTTTTTTGGAGTTGTTTTCTTAGCGGTGCTCTAGATTGGAGTAGGCATTGACGAGGACATCAATCTTCTCTAAAGGGGGGAAAGTGTCGCAAATGTAACTTTAGGTATCGAATGCTATCTGTTAATTAGTCCTTTTAGATATTCTTTCTTTACTACCATGACAGCAAGAGGTTGGTATTGTTGAACCCATTTTTCAGTCTCCGCCTAAGTTAGTTGAGAAACTACTCTTTACATGTACACTTGACCAAATGAGTATCAAGACAGAATTTCTAAGTGCTATTAATCAAGCATACTTGATCTGGTTAGAGAAACTCATTCATTGACTTGCACTTACTAGTGTTGGGAACCCTCGTGATATTGAACTTGGTCCCTTAATATTCGCTAGATGATAGTTTACCATGTCTACCAAACACCCTTGCTATTATACACCTTATGTTAGTATTATTCGATTCCAAATGCTATTTATGAAAATGTCTAAATTTGCTCATTTGGCATATCTACAGAATATAGAGATTATCTTAACCACAATGGTGTTGGTCCTATGTCCAAATTTGTAATCTAGAGACATTCCATATTTAGTAAGTTTCAAGTTAGTTCTAGAGACTAACTCTTGGTACTAAGGGTGGCTAAGGGTGAAAGCCCAAAGTCTGTGTTCCTCAAGGAGGGGGGTTATCAAGGGTTCTAAATGTATAGTAAGGATAGTGGGTAGGTCAAGCATGGCCAACCAACCTGAGGCATAGTTTATCTCTTACTTGCATTCGGTTTGAGTCTAAGCCTAAGTTCCATACCATAGTAGTTGGTGGAATACCCATATCCTTGCGTTAAGTCATCGGTATTTTGAAATAGTTCTAAACTCCGTTTAGCTTTATTTTGGATGCTAGTCTTGGCATTGGGATGTTAGATACTCTAAAACTATTCTTACATCACTTCGTGCTCCTATCCCTTTGCTCTTTAAGCCGAATGCTCAGAACTCACACCATACTCCAGTTCCTTTGCTCCTTGGCTGCAAGTTTAGGAGTTTGGCTTCGTACGTTCATTTAATGGCCTAAGGCCTTGAAACTCAAGCTTCACTCTATTGTCCATTGGACATGTGGCATGTGGCACATGAAGAGTTTAGGTTTTACTTCGTGGTTATTTTATGATAAATCACTATAGGATAAAGGGTGAAAACCACATATGCTACATGGACTTATTATGCATTTTATAAAAACATATATAACGAATTTCATAATAGTGAGTGTGTAATATGCATTTTGCCTAGGTATGATAGTTCTATTAACATCATAAGGTATATCACAAATGATTTTTTTTTGTATGAAAAAGCATTGTTTTACAAGTGTGAATTTAGTGTATATGCTCGCAAAAAAAAAAAGAAAATAAAAATTTGGAACCTGACAATAGGATGTAGTGGGGGGATGCTAATAGTGGTTAAAGGTTTGTGGGAGTCACTTTATAATGGACATAATATTGGTTCTGGGATCAAGTAAATATATGACTAACACTCTCTAAATGTGTATACACTGATAAGTCATTCATTAGAGAGGGGCTGTTTTTTTCAAGAGATCTTAAAGGAGCTCCCTTTGTAACCTTCAACATTGATTGTCATGAAAGATTTTAATTTTATCAAAGACAAACAAAATATTTTTATTTGTCACCAAATTTATGTCATAATAATGAGAAACTAGATATTGCTATAGAGTATAAAGACTTCTTGGATCACTGTTTTATTAACAATATTAATCCATAAAGATGTGGAATCAAGAGGCCTACATTAATATAAAAATACACTTTTAAAACACATACACTAATTATTGTATAAAAAAATGCTAGGAAGTCAACAAGTTCATGGTTAAAATAACCAGTGAGCTCTATGAAAAAAACATAGAATAAGTGAAGGAGAACATTTTAAAAAATACAAGTCATTAAAAGGAACATATAAGCTATCAAAATATTGATTAAGAAACAACTAAAAGGTTCTACATTTTAAACCTAACTATCAAAAATAAAGGAGTAATTATTTAATTTAGAAGTGGAAAAAATGGAAGCATTCATTAAATCTAGATATTTAAGATGGCTTATTAGTGAAAAATTGTTAAATAAGGAATTTTACAAGTCAATAAGGATAATTATGATATGATGCACATAAACCTCCAAAAAATGCACAAAATAGTGAAATATTATTAATAGCTAAAAACACTTTTTTCAAGTGTATCTCCGCCATGTTAGGTATATAGGACATGATTATGTAATCGAAAAGCTACATAGGTTTTTTTATTGATACGATATGATATTATCCAGTATATATGTAACTACTTTTGGTGCTAAACTAAGCAAACCCTTAAAGTAAAAACATTAGGATTGGATTGGGCCAAAGTTATTATACATATAGAACAATATGATACCGATGGAAAGATGGCCACATTGAGCAATTGTTAAGATTATATCACTTATACATGGTGATGTAGCTCTTATCAGGAGGCTAGAAATGGCACAACATTGACAATTTTTAGCCTTTATAATCAATATTTATAAATTTAATTAAGTTTAATTATAATTTATATTACTTAACTTCCTTTTGTGTTTCCTTCTCATCATTTTCTTGTAATCAAATTTTATTGAGATTGATTTTTTATCATAAATGATACAAGGGGATTGCCATTAGCAATAACATTATCTCAATTATAGTTATTACGTGGATTTACAAGATTGTGTTTTTTATATCAAAACTGATAAATAAGTATATATATTTTTAAAAAGGATGCAAACAAGAAGTATATTAAAAAATTTAGAAAATATTGTTGTTCTTCATGTTACCATCATTTTATATTAAACTAAATATTTAACTTATAATTTTTTAAATAATATAAAAATTAAAGTATTTTATTACTTTCATTTTGAATAAAATATTTTTTAATTTTTTTAAATTTCCCTTTATCATCTACATATCAGAAATATTTCGAAATAAATATTTAGATAAATATGTAAAACTTGATGGTAGATTAGCATACACCTGATACTTATTAAACTCAAGATGGCAAAAGTTCAAAAACAATTTACAGATAAGAGACGGACTTTATCACTATTTTATGCTTTAGTGAAATTTCCTGCAATCTTGACCGTACTTCCTTGTTTTCAGCAGATTGACCTAGGTCATGGATTGCATGCCTCTCCTGGGGACTCTTGGACCTGGAGCACATCTCCATGGCAGTTCCCTTCATGATCTCTGCACTAACATTACCCAAAAGGAATGTCTACCCTAAACTCTCTCTTATAACACTCTCCCGTACGTTCTCGGATTGTACCAGTTTGGCGACTGACTGGGGAAAGCACGTCCCAAGTGCGCAGATACTAAGAGATTCAGTGTTGATGGTGTGCAACTCTCAAGGGGCGAATGAGTCTCAATCCCAAGTGATTGGAGGTCCAAAGTCAAAGATTCTGAGGTAGCATCGATGTTCAAGCTCCGAGGCAATGGTATGAAAGAAAGACAATAAGCACAGAAAGGCATCACACAAATTTTCCCGTGTCTCATCCATCCTTGAAGCA